TTTTTTTTTTTTTTTTTTCTTCCCTTTTCCCTCTATGTCTCTGTTGAACAATGCATACTTATATATATATATATGAGTGTGGGCACGTATACGTAACGCTATATTTCTGCGTGACGTCTAGTCGTAAAATATATCGTACCCACAATCAAAATAAATAAAGTCTATATTTGGAGCATTGTGTTGTGCTTTTCGTTAAAATTGACGTGCGATTCGCATTGCAATGGTCCCTCGGTGATTAATGTTTGCTCTCTCTCTCTCTCTCTCTCGATTGCGCGGAATTCCTCGTTGACAAAAATCGATGGTTGTAGGCCAGAAATAGCTAGTTTAAAGGTTTTTTATTGGAAAAAAGCGGCTCAGTTGTATCTCAGAGGATTTAACTTTTTCTTTGGTGCATGCGATATTTTTTTTAATTGGCAACCATAAATAATGGGGCTTCTTGTTCTCTGAAAGTGACACTGTGTCGGTTGCCCGAAAATCGAACCGATTGTCTCTTACCCATATTGACCCGAGCTATAATTTTATTTTATTTTTTTTCTACATTCCACACTGCGTAACGTACGTATTTCGCATGAAACGATGCATCATCTTTTCAAATAAAACTCACCTTTACGAATATCGAATAAAGTACCCTCTCCCCATACCATCGCTAATTAATACTAATTACCTCACTTCACGGCGACTCGTTTCCTTATCACGGGGAGGAAATCTTTCCGAGTCCTCTCCCTTTGTGTATACCTGTACAACCCAATTAAAATTCCCCTCAAGGCTAGCCTGCAAATTTCTTTCTTCTTATAATACCATACGCGTTAAGATTACAATATTAGCGCCATTTATACCTTACATACATTTTCGTCGGTTACACGCGCGCGCGAGCCTTCGATCCTTATCCAGTAAACAATTATGCTCGTTTCATTCTCACGTTGAATGGTGCTGGTAATACGTTTTCCCTCGGGACGTATGTTGCCTTACGGACAATCACAATACGACACGGGATGAAGGAAAAAAAATTAAGAGTTTAATTTCTCTCGTGTGACATTGATCTTTCCTACATTAGATGCTTACGGGGGTAATTAGTCGGTGATCCGTTCGAAAACCTGTACCAAAAATGGGGGCAATGAATAATTTTAATAAATTTTCGTCCGCGCTCGCTGTGTTGCACACACCATGTGGATTTCGACGAAAAAAGGATCGTTTCAACAGCACCCGGTGTTTGGAACAGTATGCCTTTCCACGTTTTTTTTCCCCCTTCAATCGGCAATCACGGAGTATCGCGTTTGGCGCTCTAATAAAAATCGGTGTCTCAGGTGCGCGACCGAGAAATTATTCACGAGGTGTCGGTGAAACAAAGTCGAGACTTTTTTGTTCTTTGTCAAATCGTAAGACGATTGTGACGCACAATGAGGTGAGAAAGGCACGATGGCTTCCAAGTATCCTTCGGCGCGAGTTGCGTCTGCGGAAAGTTAATCGATACAAAGAGCGATGCCATTTTGTTCCTTATTGAGGAATACGGTGTGAAAAATTATCACTTCTTTTGGGACGTTTGCAGATTTTATTCAAAGTGCGAGAAAATAAAAAAAATTACTCTCCCGCGTCTTTTATTTCAATTATATTTTTTACGCGAATCGAGGCTGGGCGTGAGATTTAAAAAACCCATACTCCTGTCGAATATGATTTCATGAAGGAGGTAAACGGCCAAGACGGACGGGTGGACGGAAAGGAAAAAACGAGGGTACGTATTTTTTGAATGACGTTAAATACCCGAGTGCAATAAGTGGACCGCTTTTAAAAATTTCGGAACGCCCTGTCTCCCGGTAGGTATACGCCCGTTCGTTTTTAACGAGATTGTCCGAAAGTTGGACTGGCCTTACACGATGGTTATCGCCTCCGTATCCGATGCGTGTCGCCTTACGTAAAAAAAAAGGCTTTTAATTTATGCGCGAAATTCATTTTGAAAGGAGAATGTTTTTTGGTCCTGGCGATGGAAGAATGTCAGTTCTTTTTGTGTATACGCAGTACCTCATCTCAAACTTTTATTTCACCCCTTTGTGGAAATTATTTATTAAATCAGAGTAATCGAAATATTTTTACTCTGTCACGTTTACCTGATCTATTATCATTACAAAAAAAAAAAAAAAATCAGATGTCTAGTGAATAGTGGTTTAATACGATCTAAAGATTAGGGAGAAAACAAACTGCAATGTCTAGTAGGAACTCCGATACATCTTCAATGAGCCTCTTAAAAATCATTTATTGAGTGATGTATTTATGAGTAGATTATTTTTAACGAAATCCTGTGAATATCACGTGAGTTGCATAAAAATTTTGAACATACCAATCGTATGACCATCAGTTACGAGACTTTGATGTAAAACATAAAAATATGTCAGTCTACGCCTGCAAAGATCAAAACGAAATGAAAACATTAAGAAAACCAGCTCCTTGCTCACGTCTTCGCAGTGAGCGCACAAGTCGAAAACCTGTTATTCGATCCTATACCCTAATCCTTCTTTCGTCCGAAAGACAAAAGCAGCCACAGCAATTCAGTGCAATATCTGTTTTGCAAGTAAGTGGCTCTGTTCTTCCTATACTTGGGCACGAGCTCATTTTTTTTCGTCCCCCGGTCCACCTTGAAAATGTCGATGCGACCACTTTTCCCACCTTTTATCACGAGCTCCCTACGTTTTACGCGCCGTTTTGGCTTAATCGTCGTACACAACAAGATCATATAGCCACAGGGGGAGACCACGAAGGTTTTTCACTTGCTAGCTTTTCCCTCGTTCTTTCACGATCTCCACTTTTACGTGCACAAGCAATACATAAGACAGCTACGTGGTTCATTTGAGTTTTATTGGCGGTGAAATTTTAGAGTCGCGTCTCGTTGGAGGTATTTTCCATTGGCTTCCGGTTCGAAGCGAGAGACGGGGGGTATATATACGTATATAAGCGCGTGGCTGCCGGAACATTGTTGTTGCGCAAAACACGAGGTTTCTTAACGTCTCATAGGCGTTACCGTTGATAATTATATTGAGATTTTTCTACGAGTTTCTACATACATAATGTGCACGTGGATGCATGTGTATATATTATGTCCGTGCAGCGATCGTCATGGAAATTTTTCACTAGCTTGAATTCATATTTTTTTTTTTTTTTTTTTTGCTTTTNAGGCGTTACCGTTGATAATTATATTGAGATTTTTCTACGAGTTTCTACATACATAATGTGCACGTGGATGCATGTGTATATATTATGTCCGTGCAGCGATCGTCATGGAAATTTTTCACTAGCTTGAATTCATATTTTTTTTTTTTTTTTTTTTTTTTTGCTCACTACCGCCGGGAAGTGTGTGACTCTACGTTTTTTTTTTTGTTTTTTTTTTTTTTTTTTTTTTTTTTTTTTTGCTCACTACCGTCGGAACGGCTGTGACTCTGCGATTGTTTTTAGTGTTTTTGTTGTTTTATTTTTTTTATTTTAGTGTTTGCGCTGAGTTATACATCACTAAAAATGACGAATACAAATGAAGGATAATGCTTCCTGTGACGCATAGCAGCGTACCTTTCTTTTTGCCTATTTATTAGTCATCGTTGTTTCCTTTGTTGTGAGGCAGATGCAAAAAGTACTTATAACGAGGAGGACCGAGTATAACAAGCGTCATTGAAATGCCCCAAACGAGTTTGGGAACATTTTGCTATTTTTATTTTTTATTACTATTGTTATGATTATTATTATTATTATTTTT